AATTTTTTTAAATATAAAAATTATAAATTAAATTTAAAATTTATAATTAATAGTATATTCGAATTAAAAATAATAGATGAGAGGGGCCAGCGCCCTTTATTTTTTCTTTTAATGACGGGAAGGGAGGGGAGGGGAAAATTTCGCTCCCATCACCCAGAAGTCTGGCTCTATCCTTGTTTCCATTGGAAAACAAATAGTCAACCTAGGATGCCATACATTCGATTTGAGGGATTTTGGTATCCGTGAGAATTGAATTAATATCCCACTGGACCACTGCAATGGACAGGCCCATGCGTAGGGTGGGTATGGTTAAGTTTCGATTACAATTAAAATTAAATTATTAGTTAATTAAAATTTTAATTATTATTTTTTAAATAGCAATCATATTAAAAAATAAATAAATTTTATTGGTTTTAGTTAATTTTTTGAGAATAACTAATTTGGATAGGGTCCAATTTTAACAAAAAAAAATAATTAAATCTATATTTTTTAATTTCTTAATTGTTATTGTATTAATTTTAATCATCAAAAAACTAAAAATTACCCTAATAAATAAGTAATTTGGTGATAACTGCCAAAAACACCTTAAAAAAATCTAGAAACCATTAAAAAATTTTATGTAAAAGGTTTTTGGATTAAATTTTCTAGTTATACTCACTCTCATAATTGGTTTTTTGTTTCTATATCTAACAATCAAAATCAAAATTGATTGAGATTATTTTGATTTAAGTTTTAGTTAAAAGATCTAAAATCCAATCAAACCCTACTCATTGGTTATGGTTTTGGTCTGGTTTCAAATTTTCTTCGATTGCAGAATTTCTGGCCCACCCTTACCCATCACCTTTTTATCAGCATAGCCTTCAACTAATTTGTGCATCAAGTTGGGCAATCCTTTTGTTAATTGAGTAATCATTTCCTTAATTGAACTTTAACGCGTACGCCATTCCATTGCATCACTCCTGAAATGTTTTAATTGTCTTGTGTGATTTTAAATTGTAACCATGTCACATCAAGATATTGATACAATAATCTCATATTGACATCCAATTAATTGGTCTCTCAAAGTCTACAACTATATAAGGACTTTCAAAAAATTTATATAAAAGGTTTTTGGATTAAATTTTCTAGTTATACTCACTCTCATAATTGGTTTTTTGTTTCTATATCTAACAATCAAAATCAAAATTGATTGAGATTATTTTGATTTAAGTTTTAGTTAAAAGATCTAAAATCCAATCAAACCCTACTCATTGGTTATGGTTTTGGTCTGGTTTCAAATTTTCTTCGATTGCAGAATTTCTGGCCCACCCTTACCCATCACCTTTTTATCAGCATAGCCTTCAACTAATTTGTGCATCAAGTTGGGCAATCCTTTTGTTAATTGAGTAATCCTTTCCTTAATTGAACTTTAACACGTATGCCATTGCATTGCATCACTCTTGAAATGTTCTAATTGTCTTGTGTGATTTTAAATTGTAATCATGCCACATCAAGATATTGATACAATAATCTCATATTGACATCCAATTAATTGGTCTTTCAAAGTCTACAACTATATAAGAACTTTCATTCGCAGGATCTTTGAACTTGAATTTCAATCTAAAGAAAGGAAGCAGTACTTGCCATGGGAATTCATGGAAGGTTGTGGCTGGTCATCCTTATTGCACCCCCATTAGCAGCAATTGCAGCAAAACTTCCTATTGCAAAACTCGGTTGTCAAGATAAATGTGGTAACGTTAGTATTCCATATCCATTTGGTACAAGAGAAGAATGTTACTACGATGACAATTTTTTCATAAGGTGCAATGACACTTTCGATCCCCCATTAGCGTTTTTATCGAATAGTACAATCAATGTCATCAACATAAGTCTTGAAGGGAGGCTGCGCATAATGAGCCCTATAGCCCATGATTGCTATAATGCGTTCGGTTACCCAGGTTACAGCGACAATGACCGGCTCCAATATTTATATTTAGACAGTAGTTATACTATCTCTGACACTGATAACAAGTTTGTTGCTATTGGGTGTGATACGACAGCATATCTACAAGGTCTCCAAGGGAATAAAAGCTACACTGGAGGTTGCATAACCAAATGTGAGAGCATTGACTATGTAGCCAAACACACATGTTCTGGAATTGGTTGTTGCCAGACACCCATTCCCGAAAGAACGAACAACATCATTTTCATAGTGGGAAGCAGCGAATACTATAAAAGTGTTTGGAACTTCAGCCCTTGCAGCTATGCCTTCATCGTGGAAGAAAGCCAGTTCAACTTTTCTTCAAATTATCTTCTCGACTTTCAAAATGTTAGTAAACTCCCTCTGGTGCTTGATTGGTCAATTCGGGCCGTCAACGATACATGTGGTAAAACTAAAAAGGCAAAAGCATGCCAAGGAAACAGCTCTTGCGTTCCTGTTGAAAATAATGGATATCGATGCAAGTGCTTAGACGGTTTTGAAGGAAATCCGTACCTACCTAGTGGTTGCCAAGGTAATCCATTTATACTCACGCTGTATTTCATGAAAGTCAAAATAATAGTTGCTGTTCTGATAGTTTTCATTCTTTTTGCAGACATAGATGAGTGTTCAGACCCTAATCGCAATCATTGTAAAGGTATGATCTGCACCAATACAGAAGGAAGTTATATATGTTCGTGCCCAAAAGGTTACCATCTTGTTGAAATAAACGATGAAACTCGAGGTTATTGTGTTCGGCGTGATTGGATTCGAATTCTGGTCCCTGTAGGCAAGTACGCATATTTTATTCCCCCTTCAAGTAATCAAGTCCAACATACTTCTGCAGTTTTCTTTATTTTAATTTCAGATTTTTATTTTTTACCCTGATTTTTGTTTAAGTAATCAAAACAGCTCCTGAGCCTGTTCTAAGTATCGGCTTTACTTCAACCAACAATTACTAAAAGTAGAATGTCCACCAAACATTTTAGTTTTGACTTCTCATAAGAGGGAACGCTTTTTAAGAGCATGGTGTTTTGCAGTGATGGAGGGGCTGTCCTCTAATATCAAGGGCCTTCACAATACAATGACTAGTATTTTGTAGTCTAAACTGCAAAAGACTTTTTTTTTTATTATTTACCTTTAGCTTCCATTTTAGTCAAAACACATGTTCTGTTAACTCTCATAATCACTCTTATTTCTTTCACTTACAAAGGGATCGGAGGCCTTGTATTATTCCTAGTAGTTGGCACTTGGCTATTTTGGGGATATAATAAATGGAAGCTCATCAAACTCAAACAGAAGTTCTTCATGCAAAATGGAGGTTTGATGTTGCAACAACAACTATCCAACCATGAAGGATCTGCAGAAACAGCTAAAATTTTTACAGTTGAGGAACTCGAGAAGGCCACAAACAACTTTGATGAAAGTGGAATTATAGGTCAAGGAGGTTATGGGACAGTGTACAAAGGAACTCTTAAAAATGGAAGAATTGTTGCAATTAAGAAGTCCCACATTATTGATCAAAGTCAAAATGAGCAATTCATAAATGAAGTGGTTGTCCTTTCACAAATCAACCACAGAAATGTGGTGAAGCTGTTAGGTTGTTGCTTAGAGACAGAAGTTCCATTGCTAGTTTATGAATTCATTACCAATGGCACTCTTCACCATCACATCCACAATAAAAGTAAGGCTTCATCATTGACTTGGGAAATCCGCTTAAGGATAGCAATAGAAACTGCAGGAGTGCTATCATATTTGCACTTTGCAGTCTCTACACCAATCATTCATAGAGATATAAAGTCTACAAACATACTCTTAGATGAGAGCTACACAGCAAAAGTATCCAATTTTGGTACTTCAAGGTTGGTTCCACAAGACCAGGCTGGAATATCTACAGTTGTTCAAGGAACTATTGGATACTTGGACCCTGAATACTTGCATTCAAGCCAATTAACAGACAAAAGTGATGTTTATAGCTTTGGAGTTGTCCTCCTTGAGCTTTTGACTGGAGAAAAAGTACTTTCCTTTGATAGGACAAAGAAAGAGAGAAATCTTTCCATGTATTTTCTTTCTGCAATGAAAGATAATTGCTTGGAAAAAATTCTTGATGGTTGTGTAGTGAATGAAGCAAACATTAAGCAACTTAATGAGGTAGCGAACCTGGCAAGGAGATGCTTGAGTTTGAAAGGAGAGGAAAGGCCTACAATGAAGGAAGTGGCTATGGAGTTAGAGGAAATGAGAAGGATGACAAAGCATCCATGGGCGAACAATGAATTGGATGTGGAAGAGCCAAAGAACTCGCTAGGTGAAACATCTAATAAATCTAGTTATGACTTTGATGGTAGTGGTAGCATGAGCGTCTCCAACACGTTTCCAGATCAAGTGGGATTTGCAATTCATAGTGGGAGATAAACAAAAGTTTCTTGGTGACTAGTTGATACCCATCTATGTTAGTGCTAATCATAAAACCCAGAAAAACAATGGGGGAATGGAAGAGACCACATTCTTGTAGATAGGATTCTCTTCCTAATTTTCAATAGGTTAAAACCCCTTTTTGGTCCCTGAACTATTGTACGGACCCCCGATTTGGTCCCTGAACTAAAAAAATCCCTGATTTGGTCCCTACTGTTTACCATTTTTACCCCGATTTGGTCCT